AAGACATAATTTAAAAATTCAATAATTCAACTTTGTCAACAAATTATCAATAATTTTATGAATTTTGCAATAAACATTTACTTTACAATCTTAGCTTTGATTGCATTATTCAATTTTACATGAGTTATTCATAGTTATCGAGTTCTAAGTTAAAATCTGAAGACGTAATTTAAAAATTCAATATTTCAACTTTGTAAACAAATTATCAATAATTTTATAAATTTTGCAATAAAACAATTATACATATTTTATTCTTTACAATCTTAGCTTTGATAACATTATTCAATTTTACATGAGTTACTCATAGTTATCAAGTTGTTAGTTAAAATCTGAAGACATAATTTAAAAATTCGAGTTACTCATAGTTAATCGAAGTACGTAATTTAAAAATTTCATATTTTCAACTTTGTTAACAAATTATCAATAATTTTATGAATTTTGCAATGAAACAATTAAACATATTTTATTTTCATCTTACTTTGATTGAATATTTTATGAATTTTGCAATGAAACAATTACACATATTTTATTCTTTACAATCTTAGCTTTGATTGCATTATTCAATTTTACATGAGTTACTCATAGTTATCAAGTTGCTAAGTTAAAATTGAAGTAAATCAATATTTCAACTTGATTTTTAGAATAATTTCATATTTATTTTTATAATCTTAGCTCTGATTGCATTATTCAATTTTACATGAGTTACTCATAGTTATCAAGTTGTAAGTTAAAATCTGAAGACATAATTTAAAAATTCAATATTTCAACTTTGTCAACAAATTATCAATAATTTTATGAATTTTGCAATGAAACAATTACACATATTTTATTCTTTACAATCTTAGCTTTGAATTGATTATTCAATTTTACATGAGTTACTCATAGTTATCGAAGTTGTAAGTTAAAATCTGAAGACATAATTTAAAAATTCAATATTTCAACTTTGTCTAACAAATTATCAATAATTTTATGAATTTTGCAATAAAACAATTAACATATTTTATTCTTTACAATCTTAGCTTTGATTGCATTATTCAATTTTACATGAGTT